CACAGGTGCAAGCTTACTTACCTATAACAGGAAAACAAATCTTGAAAGGTGACTGGGAAACATGTGGACCTGCACTTACTCCCCATGTCTAATGTAGGATTTAATGGTTATTAAGAAGGAAAGGTGCCATAATTTATTGACTTTTAATTCATGCTACATCCCATTCACATTCCCCTCTCAGGAGCCCCCTCTCCTCCCAGTCCTGCCCTTACAAATCCCTCCCCCATTACCCCATCTCCTTCTCAGAGAAGGGGAAGCCCTCCTTTGGATACCACCCCACCCTGAGACATCAAGTTCCATTAGGGCTAAGCACTTCTTCTCCCACTGAGGCCCAACCAGGTAGTTCAGAGAATATGGACCCTGCTCTACTTGTTAGGGCATCCACATGCAGACAAACTGTGAGGAGAAAAGACTACATGCATTATAGTACATACGTTTTGGTATCTTGCCTTTTCTTTTCATTTACTTATAGTAATTAAAAATTTTCCTTGATTTCTTTGAAGAGTCATTGATTATCAATAATGAGTTTTTTAATCTCTACAAAGTTATTTATGTTCTAGGGTTTATTATTATCATTATATTGTTATAGGATATAAGGGATTATTTCATTTTTTTTTCTGTATTTGTGTAGACTTGTTTTGTGTCCTATAAGACGATCTATTTGGGACAAAGTTTTTTGGGTTGCTAAGGAAAATGTGTCTTCTACAGCATTTGGTTAGAAGACTCTGTAAAGATGTGTTAAGTCCATTTGATGTATGATGCCATCTAAGTCTCACAGTTTTCTGTTTATTTTGTCTTGGAAAGATTGTTCAGTTCATGAGATTATGGTATCAGAGACAACTGCTACTACTGTGCTAGTTATGTGATTTTACATCAACTAGTATGTTTTATGAAATTTAGAGTACTTGTGTTTGAACATGTATTTAGAATCATAATGTCCTCTTAATGTATTATATCCCTAATTATCACGAAATGACTATCTTTATATTTTCTCACTGCTTTGGATTCTATATCTATTGTGTCAGATATTAAAAGACTGACAACTAAAAGAGGAAGAAGGAAAAGTGTGGTGCTAGTATTTATTTAGATACTGTTTTTTTCAAGGATGGAGGTAATATTGATGTCATATTGCACTGGCGTGTAAAAGCAAGCTGTGCTATTATCTGTATTACATACAGTTTGAACTTGCTATTGTGAGTGGAAATGGACCTTGTGAAATGTACTGAATAGTGGATCACCCTCTCTGAAGCTGTGGTTTCTTCAGATAAGTATGAACATGAAGGTTTCACTCAGGAAATGCCGGGGTTCTGGCACCCCAGTGCCACTTATGGCTGCAGCACGGGAAGTGATTCAGAGGTTTTGTTGTCTTTTGTTTTATGACATGGAAAAAGAATGAAAGAATGTGATGTGGTTCATGACTTGGCGGGTCAAGGATCAATCAAGGATCAATGTGAACAGTACTTAGTTCTGATCTCCAAACAAAACCATGAAATGTTAACTATCAACAGGATGGGGACACACACACACACACACACACACACACAGAGAGAGAGAGAGAGAGAGAGAGAGAGAGAGAGAGAGAGAGAGAGA